GGTAAACAATCTAGCTAGGGCTCAGCTACTGCATTTTCAGAGAATGCAACCCAGTTCCCAACACTTCCTTCAGATCCTACCTTGGTCTGACCCAGCGGCAGTAATTTGTAAAGGCTTGACTTCAGTGCTGCTGAACTCCCAACTTCCCTTACACAGACGACTGCTGGCCTAGGCAATGCATCCTTTCTGCATATAACCTATGGCTCCTATTTCTTTTCAATGGCAGCCACATCTCCTTTCCTCCAGCAGTTATTACAGGCACACACCTGCAATCCCAGCTGTTCTGGAGACTGAGGTATTAGCACTGCAATTCAAAGCCGCCTGGAAGTTTAGCAAGACCCTGTCTGAGAGTAAAATAAAAAGAGCAGGGATGTACCTGAGTATTAGAGCACACGCCTAGGTGTGAGGTCCTGCATTCAACCCCTACTGCAAGACATAAATAAGACTTAAACATCTCCGTTTTGAGATACCGAGGTCTCCTCAAGCATCGGCAGTTATCTGAGAGTAGCGGTACTTTGAACAAGGATAGCTATGTCACATTTGCCTCATCCTTCCATTCAGGTAAGGACCACACCCATTTTTTGTTTTTGTTCTTGTACTAGGGATTGAACTCAGGACCTTGCACCTGCAAGGCAGGCGTGGTGCCACTGAGCTAAATCCCCGGCCCCACACCCACTATTTTTATACCCAGAACACCAGGCTGTTCAAATGGGAGGCTTGCTTGCTGAGGCATCTAGCAACCTCCCCTTATGTCACACACACTGTCAACAGCAAACATTTATGCTGCTCATACCTTTCTATATCAAGCCATTAAGGTCTGATTTTTCAGATCCAATATTTCTAAGTAACTTTCCTTTTTTCAAGCCTAAAGAGTGGAATTGCATGCCGCAAGTCGCCAGCATAGGCTTCCACTGGAGAATCAGAGAGCAGAGCATCTCCCAAAACTAGGGATTTGGGGACCACTGAGCCTTGTGGCGGGCTTGTCCAGCAACCTCCCAGTCTGTCAGAGGAGGATATCTGATGGGCGGCTGGGCCAACAATGTTCCCCTTCTTCCTTCTGGGAACAGTATTTCTCCTTTTTGGACAACTGCACCTCCCCCACTTCCTGCATCCCTGAGGGAGCAGCACTCTGCATCTCTGCAGATACCAGCCAAGTTCAGGAACTCAGATATTTCCCAGGACTGCGAAGGTCAAATGAGACACACACAGGGATATCAGGCAGCTATTGTTGAGACACAGGATTCAGTGTCCTAATGAGGCAGCCTCCAAGTTCCCACAGGAAAGATCTGTTGCACCATTTCAGTTCCTATCGATCCCAAAGTCCATTCCATCCTCTGTTCTGAGAGGCATCCTTGTAGTGAGACTTGACTTAGCCAGAGTGTCTTTCTGCTGCTTGCCATCAAAGAACCTCTGAAAGCCATCGTGATACCCAGCCTGACGCCATTTGGTGTCTCATCACTGTCACCCTCCCTTCTGTGTAAAGTCCAGGATTCTGGGTGGTCGCCTCCCCACCCCGTTGAGAGTCTTCTCCGTTATGCAACAGAGAACTACATCCCCTTGGGTAGAGCTCTCTGCAGCCATGTTATCTTTACGACCATGTACACTGGATACTCTGCACCTGTGTGAGCCTGCAACTATGCTACCTTTACAACCTCGTAAATTTGTGTGATTATTTGTTTCAACTAAACTGTGTGCAGCTATCCCCTACCCCCACTTAGCAAAGCCCTGCTCCTGTGAAATCCCCCCGAGTCCTTCCCAGTTAGAAGAGTCGCTTAAAAGGACCCCACAGGCTGCTTTTCCATGCCAGCTGACAGTAAAGGACTCAAAGTTTGGCTCAGAGTGGGGGCAATTCTCTATAATCTCTCACGATTAAGTATAACAGTTGAGGGATATGGTTACCCGACACTTTGACAAAACTTTGATAAAATGTACTGCCTTCTGTACCTCTCTGCACAGTCCAACCTACATTTAAAATTTTTTTCTATCCCACATATTCTCGCCCAACTTCTTCCTAGTTTGATACCTCCAGAGTCTTGACGCTAAGATCATTTCTCAAATCATGTACTCCATAAACAGGAAGCCACAGGCAAACCACCACAGTACCTAATATCGTCCTAGATACTACATCATTTGATAAACATATAGAATCATCAAATATCACCATAAATCAAACAGAACCATAAATCTTTGTTTCATACATCTAAATATAGTCAAGTCTTCTGGGCCGGGGAGTTAGTTCAGCGGCACCAGGCCTGCCTCACAAGCACAAGGTCCTGAGTTTAATCCCTTGTGCCGAAAAAAAGTCTTCAATTATCTGTAGATTCTGTAATTTCTTATTCAGCTACTCATTAAGATGTATTTTATCTAAAAAAAATCAATACTTGTGACCTTTTCCCAGTCATTTCTAGGCACATGCAGTGGTGAAAAAATTCGAGTTGTCCAATACGCATGTGGAACAAGGAGGTGTTCTGTCATCTCACTTCAAATCTCACACCATGAACGAACGTCCTTGTGGTCAACCCAGATTATTACATTCTTACCACTCCTTGTAGGGAACAGGGAAAGGGGAGGTTAGTAGAACCGCTGCATCAGGTCCTAGTCTCCTGTGAGCCACAACAGCACAAGGCAAATTAATTAAGATATAGACAGAAAGAGACTTCGAGAAGAAGCTGATATTTGGGCCTGATCAATGCTGTTCTGGGCATCAAAGAAAGACCCCAAACTTGCCTCACCTTTACGTGGTACATCAGGAGAAACAAATGTCACAGATGACTCAGAGGGCTGCATCAATGATCCTAGAAAAATGAGGAACTATGAAGATGAAGGTTTTGTTGCTCCTCAGGATATCTCCAGCTGGTGTGACCCTGCCCTGGAATATCACAGGATCACCAGACCATGGAGGTTTTCGCTGTGACTGGAGGTGAAAACAGAGTTATGTCTCCACATATGGAAGCTGGCCTGTAGGCAGGAAAACTGGGCCCTAATAATCATGATTTAACTGTGAAATTATTTTTCCTCCAGATTATGTAGAATCGCTCCCAACAACTCCTGTACCTTGTTTTGGTGATTTAACTATTTCAAACGGTCTCAGTGTGTGGAGGTGAAGTGTGGTGTAGTGTTTCTAAGTGCAAGGAGGCTGTGGGGTACCCTGAAAAGAACACGTTAGATAAGGTTCACACATGCCTGAGTTAGAGTGTTGGCCATGAGTTGGATATAAATGAATCAACATTATAAACTAAATAAGGTATCTCTAAATAGAAACACATGAAACAAGTAATGCTCTTATTAGCTGATGAAAATGTTGCAACCAGAGATTCACAGGTACTTAAAATCCGTGTGTCCCTCAGGAGCCGTGGTTCACATCTTATGACAACCTTATGGAACACAACTGCTGTGCATAACAAGAAATAGCTGGGAGGGCCAGGGATTTAGCTCAGTGGAGCCACTGCCTGCCTCAAAAGTGCAAGGTCCCAAGTTGCATCCCCAGTTACACACCCCCCCGCGTGCACGCACACACACACGCACACACACACAAAGCAGCAGCTGGGGGCCAGGATTTTGGCTCAGTACTGCCACACCTGCCTCACCAGCGCAAGGTCCTGAGTTCAATTCTTGGTACTGGAAAAACAACAACAAAAACAGCACCTGCAACGTGGGTCTATAAAGACAGTAGTACAGATGATGATGGAAAGCAGTAGCATTTAAAGAGTGGAAACTCTTGTTTACTCCAATTTCATGTCTTACACTGTTCTAGTCATTCATAAGTGAGGCCTGGTTAAATAATTTTTCTATAATTCACCTATTTGAAAGTATATTATTGGTGACCAATCACAAATAACTGATTCTGTTTGCTGATCTGTGCCTCATGCACTAAAGCTGTGGTGAGACTCTCAGGATGTTCCTGGAACACTGAGGTAGAATATTGAGATACTGTTGCCTATGGGGTTAGCATTTTTGTGCTTTGGGGCAGAGGACAGCAAAACTGATTAGAGAAAGTATATGTGACACGTGGTCAGCCGCCTCTAATCATGGCTGCTACCAGTTACCAAGCAAACAGAAATTAAAAGGGGGCCATGATCATTCCCCTACTCCTTACCCAGTGAAACTGTTTTCAGGAGCTACACAGATACTAAATCCCCGGCCCCAGCCTACTATTTTTTAATGGATCTTTTGATGGAGACAAAGGGAGGAGCAGCAACCTCAGTTGGTGTCCAGGGTTTGGAATTCTCTTTTCTCAGCACACTACAAATACAAAGCCTAGTTACTATGGTGATATTTTCTTTGGGTCCACTTAAGAAATCAGCACAGCAATTGGCCATGACTACTCAGAAAGATATTCAGGAAAAATTTAATGAAAGAATTTAGAACTACTATACCTTCTAATGGAAACCATAGAAAAAATTAGCTTACTTAGATGATAAAAAAATGGAAATAAAGTGCTAAACAACTTAAGTGATTTCCACAGTTTTTCTAACTCAACCATTAATCTACTCAGTGTTTCTCATTATAACTCTGTCCTTTATTTTTAAGAGACACCATCTATGCATGTTGGCAATTGATCTGAAATGTAAAACATTCTTAGAAAATAAACTGGTACTAAATTCACAATAAATTTTATAAGAAAAGGCTGTGATTTGCAAGTATTTGGAACATCTGTCAGAAGAAAACAAAATGACAAAAACACATACAAATGTGGAAATTACTAACTGAACCATGAACACAGAGAAAGGAACTTTTGAAATACGTGAACCCACCTGCTTCTGAAAGCATAACCATTTCTAGACTGTCTCACAGATATTTAACTAGCCTCCTCAAATCTTACCAGAGGTTATGCACTTCATCTCAAGAAAAGAACGTAAACTCATTTTTAAACCATTTAAAACAAAGAAACAAATAATAAAAAGGGGATTAGAGAAAGGTCACATCCTAGAAGTAGCTTTGCAGTATGCAGAACATAGTACTGGCTTAAAAAATAAAAAGATTCTTGCACTGCTGTTAAATTTAAGTATGAAGAACCATCCCCATCTACCTTGATAAAAACTAACATGCTATTTCACTCCAGTACATTGACTTCATTGTACTTCATATAGTTTTATACTTGGGATGAGGCTAAAACAACAAAAAAAAGAACTGGCAGACAGCTGTTAAAAACTTTCAAACATTAATTGTCATGATATATGATCAAATAAAAATCAACCCTGGATTAAAACAATACATTTCTGATTACATAAATAAGTTCTATTCTTTACCAAAAATCTCCACTGTTGGAAGATCCTGATTAAAATAAGGAAATATATAAAATGAGAACAGGAAGTAAACATAATAGTTTGGTTCATTTCAGAAGGTGTCCTGGTCCAAACGCCAACTGTACAAGTCTCTAGGCTCTCAACGGAGTGTGACCAGCTCTTCTGAAGAGGTAGGGTGAATGGCCACTGTGTTATCAAAGTCGGCCTTAGTTGCTCCCATTTTTACTGCAACAGCAAAACCCTGCAGCATTTCATCGCATCCAATTCCCTGCATATGGATCCCGACCACCTGAGGAAAAAGGGAAAAATGGGCAAAGTAGAATTTTCATTACATATGCAATCATGGCGTTTAAAAAAACTAGGGGGGGGCTGGGGATTTAGCTCAGTGGTTCCGCCGCCTGCCTCGCAAGCACAAGGTCCTGAGTTCGATCTCTGGTGCACCCCCTAAAAATTTTTGGTGTTTTAAAAAAACGAGCAGTTCAGGTGTAATTCTGTGGCAGAGTACGGCCCAGACAGCTCTTCCTCATCTGAGCCAACTTTCCTTCTGTTCCATTTGACCAGTCATTTCTCTCCTTTGTGCAAGATAACCCTGTCTGGACAGCCTTCCCCAGCCTTCCCCGCACTTTCAAGAGCTAAAGTCCATTCACATTTTGGACAGTTACGGAGTTATCTCCCTGACCAAGTTAAAATCTGTCACATGATCTCTCAGGAGCAACAGTTCTTGTCATGGCTCTAAGACAGCTACAATGGGATATTGTTTGAGGCACTACATAATTACAGTCCATCATTCCCAAGATCTCTAAGACTAATCTCTAGAGAGGACCCTGCCTGCTTTTGCTCCCCACTCTATCTACAGCCAAGCATAATGGTCAGCACTTTGAAAACCCGATTCATTTATGCAGGTTGGCTACATGAATGACATAAAGAGGTGTGCATTTCTAATCACTCTATGGTGAGACTTCTCTATATAGTTACAATCTGTTAGTTAATGACAACCTTCAGCAAATAGTTTTAGGTAAACAGCCAACTAGAAAGCAAAATTAGATAATAAAATTAGGCCACAAAAATAACTGAGTAAAAACAAATTGAGAATATGCTCAACGTTACTGAAATGTATATTTTTAAATGGTTATTCATCTGGAATAGTAGTGAAATTCCCCTCTGCGTTAATCTTTAAAAATATATATATATATAATTTTTTGGTCAAATATATACCTCAATAGGCTAATGACTTAAAAAAAAAGTATGAGATTTAAATATTCAAATCTATCAAGGGAGTATATAGGCTGATCAACCAAAAACTGCATCATTTAGTATAAAAATCTTACAGAAAATTTTTTAATGACTTCACTAATGATAATGTTGCATTAGTATCCAGAAAAATACCTTCAAATACTATAGAAATCATATAATTTCTCTAATATTAATCTCCTTTAACAGTCCTGTTAAATTTTAAACATTAAGTAACATTTTTAGCACAAAGCATGTTGTTGGTTTAATTTTATGCTGACTTGTATATTGATAACTAATAAAATACAAAAAATATGTACAATCGTACACTAAAATATTAGAACTCTGTGTTTTAGGTTTATCACTATATTTTAAAAACAAGAAAATACTATTGTTAAGCTTTTGAAACCATGTAGTTTTTTTTAAGTTCTGAGAATATGTAACAAGCAATAGCAAAATTCTCCGACAGTGAGTTTCCAGTTCTCCCGACATTTCCAAGATGCATCCCTGAAGATAACACTATTGATGCATTGGGGGCTGCTGGACAAAGAGGCCTCTCTGAAACAGCTAAAGTTGGAGAGGAGGGGCCTCATTTTAATGAGTTGAGTTACAATTATAAATTAATCATGGAAGGGTATCTTTCCTCATATTTAATCCTTCATTTCTTTCTCATCTCTAGTTCCTAGACCCTTATTCCCCAGATCCATTTATTTTGCCTTCTTTTTCCTCGCATTTGGCCCAGTGGTAAAACCTAATAGATTGTGCTTCAGTATACCATCTTCTCTGTAGAAAAATCAAAAGATTATCAATAATGAAAATTTATCAAATTTAAGATTTAATGCTCTAGAATATGTGATTAATCACTGGTTGCCCCCAAACATTCTTTGTTTCTTGTCCATGATGATGATGATTCTTCATATATTTCCTTTTTCCATGTGAGCACTTTGGCTTTTGAAGCGTCAATGGCACAACTCACAGCTGCTAGAGACACAGCTCTGTGGGCTGAGGACACTGGAACCAAGCCAAGACCATGGAACAGGGCTGTTTTACTGGCCATTTCTGCCTAATGTCACTACAAATTTTCCTGATTTCATTTTCCACCACTGGTATATATGCTTCATATCCTGAACTAATGATTTTTTCCCTTCGAAGTTATTTCATGTCCTTAAAAATAAGGACACTGCACCACACACTGGAGAAATCATCAACGGTGAGACTTCATCTACTACAAGTTTCCCGGCAGCGCATTTTATTATGTCTTTAAATTTCTCTTCAACTTCACCCATATTTTTCATGGCTGCAAAGTATTATCCTCCACTAATGGGGGGAGGGTCATAGTAATCTGTCTCCTGGTTGCAGCTGGAGCAGCTGGCTCTCCCAGCTTGACACACACTTGATGAACAGCAAGTATCACCTGATTTTTTAATATCAGCCAATTCAGCATGTCGAGTCTCTATCTCTTTCTACAGCTGCAACACTTTAACTTCTTGCGGACATAAACGGTCTCTGAATGAATCCCTGCTACTTCAGCACTTTTTGCAAAATAACAGTACTTCAACCTGGCAGCTGGGTACCATCCCGCCTAAGACTCCAAGCCCTGGGCTCTAATCTTCACACAAAAGATTAACCTGAAATAATCTGGGGTTAACTCGTCAGCTATTTTCCTATTACTGTCTTCATTCCCACCCTGCAAGAAATATGACTTTGAAGTGACCAATCTGCTCTTTGTTTTGTTCCTGCTTTTTTCAGACTTTTTGTCTCTAAAAACCAACCTCTTCTGCTCAGCTCAGTCATGCTAGAAGTAATTCCTGCCTGACTCTAGAATCAAAAACAAAAGATCATTTTAAAAATGGCTAACATGATAATTTTTGTTATGTGTTATAAAACAAAAAATTCCACATCGAATATTGTGTATGCATTAAACACAGCTGCATTTTCAGGAACTATGACCTAAACTAAACTTAAAAAGAGCCTCTGGCACCAGCAGGAACTTTATTATTTCTCCTCTCCATTAGTCTTTAGCAGATTACCAGGTAATGTTTACCAAACAAATTAAAGAAGACTGGTATGAAGCAATAAGCAGGAATCCTGCTGACTCAATACCCAGGAAACAGCCCCCTGAGCAATGTTCAGAACCTGGAAAAAACAGGCTGGGTTTTGCCGCCCAAACCCATGTCAGTCTTCCACAATGCTGAATTATGTAACAGGGGACCGTGTTTTGTAGCTCTAGGCCCCTGATAAGATATGGATTATACATTTTTTTTTGGTAACAAAAGCTGGAAACTGCATTCAATCTTCATCCAAGCCTCTGTTCCTCAGAGCCACTGTTTCAAGGTACAATGTACTGCTAAAAACAAAACCAAGCCAAACAAACAAAAATTATCTTCATTCCACCTTGGGCTGCAATCATGTAGCTCTGTGGTAGAGCACCTACCTAGCAGGCACGAGGCCCTGGATTCAATCTCCAGCACTGCCCAACTAAACCAAGACAAACTGAACCTCATTCCGAGGAATTTTGCTAAAATTCCAATATTTAAATCAATTAGTAAAAACAGACCAATATTCTGTCCTAGAAACTTAGGCCATTTATAAATTACAAAATACATTCCATTCAAATGCAAATCAAAACCACAGAGACAGCACTGCACACCCACAAGAAAAGCCACAATAAGAAGGCAATGAACAAGGGTTGGCGAGAGTGGAGCAAACAGAAACCTCATACTCTGCTGGGGGCAAAGCACAGATTATCGTAGGGAAAAAAAATGGCTGAATAAAAAATAAAGTTCACTGGTCTATATCCAGCCTCCAACTGATGGGCAACTGGGCTGTCTCCACATTATAGGTATTACAAACTGTGCTGCTATAAACATGGGTGCGCATATATCACTGTGATAGGATTCTATTAATTCTTTTGGAAAGATACCCAGCAGAGGGATGGCGGGGTCAAATGGACCCTCTAGTCCCAGCTCTTTGAGGTATCTCCATATTGATTTCCATAGTGGTTGCACCAGTCTGCACTCCCACCAACAATGGAAAAGGGTTCCTCTCTCCCCACAACCCCACCAACATCAATTATTGGTTGATTTCCTGATAGCAGCCATTCTTACTGGGGTGAGGTAGAATCTCAGTGTTGTTTTCATCTGCATCTCTCAAATGACCAGTGATGTGGAACATTTTTTCATATATTTATTTATTTTCATATATTTGTTTCTTTGAGAAATGTCTGCTCATTTCAGATGCCCATTTTTAATAGGGTCTTTATATTTGGAGGGCTTGATTTTTTTGAGTTCTTTATAGATTCTAGATAATGGAGAGCAGCTGGTAAAAACTTTTTCCCACATATTGTGTTAAATTTCAATTTACCTTCCATTAAACTCTTACTTCACCAATATTTCGGAGTTTCCTATCCATTCTGGCCTACGGGTCAATGGTGGCAGGCTTTGGGTGGTCTTTTTTCCTTCCCCTTACTTTATACAAGGAATGGAACTTTCTAAATTAAATATGAAAATCTCCTCTCCCCACACACGGTGTGATCAAAGGATATGGTGAAAGCTTAAAGTTTTTTTGTTTTTTTTTTTGGTACCAGGTATCGAACTCAGGCCCTGGCATTTGTGAGGCAGGCAGTAGAACAACTGAGCCAAATCCCTGGCCTGAAAGCTTAAATTTTACAAAAAAATTTTTACTACGGTGCTTTGAACACATTTATCCCATCATGCTTGCCATTTTCTGAAGCAGTTCTGCCGTCCTCCTGTTGTCTGTACTTGTGCAGCCACGGCTGCCTCAAGGTCCTGAGTGGATTCAAGAATGTTTCATGGCCATTCTGACTTTGGGGAAGAACCAGAAGATGCACGGAGCCAGAGACAGTGAACAAAGTGGAGGAGGACACACCGTCATTTTTCATTTGACAGAAACTGCTGTACGTGTACACTGCACACTGCTTCAGAAAGGGGCAAGAATGATCAGGCAAGTGTTTGAAGCAAGGGGGAGCACTCTGAGGGGAGTTAATGGTAATTAATAAAAACTAATAAATTTTAAAGATTAATAAATTTTAAAAATAAGTAAGATTTAAAAATTTATTTAAGCATTTATTATGCTTTTTTCACACCTTGTCTACAAGGCAGGTAACAGCATGGCTGTCCAGCTGGACCAGAGGACTCGCCTACTTGGTCTCCACACCCTCCAGGCTCCGAACCAAAATACCAACATCCTTCTCAACCCTGCAAAGCACCGCGGAGCTGACTGGATTTTTCCATACCTTTTCCTCTCTGTTGGCACAAATCATTTTCATCACACATTTCGTTTTCCTTGTGGTGACTGCATGGTACATTGGGGTGAAGGCAGTTGAATAGATCTTCACATTGTCTTTTCCGAATTTATGAATGGCCTCATCTATAATACATGTATATAAAAGCACTTATCAAAAAATTAAACAATTAACTGAGTTATGGTCAGACTATATAACCTGAATCAAATCATGAGGAAGTATCAAACAAACCAAAATAAATGACATTCTACAACACAAGAACAAATATTTTGTCTCTATATTAAGGGGGACCAAAGACGAATAAAAACTACGTATTATCTATTAGCCTAGAGTGAATTCTACACTTGGGGAAAAATGTTGAAAATAACATAAATGGGATAATTGGCAAGATTTATATAAGGTTCACACTTGAAAATTGTATTGAGCTTTGTTCTTAAGAAATACATACTAAAATACACTAAACAGTGTATGTGGGTTTATAAGAAAATAATTAAGCAAAAATATTAAGGGTATACAGGAGTCCTTTGCATTCTTTTTGCAACTTTACATGTGATATTAGTTTAAATTTAAAAAGCTAAAAAAAAAAAATCAGATAAATAGGACTGTGTGAAGAAAAAAACCTGTACTCTCATAATAAAGTAAACCAGATAAGAGACTAACCAAAGAGAAATGGGCCACGCATGGTGATGCATAACTGTAATTCCAGCCCTTCAGGAGGCTGAGACAGAAGGATCACTGTGACTTCAAGGTGAGCCTGGGCTACACAGTGGTTTCAAGGCCAGACTGAACTACACAATGATACCCTGTCTCAGAAACAAGAAGGAAGGGAAGAAGGGAGGGAGGGAGGAAGAGAGGGAGAGAAAGGGAAAGGGAAGAAGGTGGGGAGAAGAAAAGGGGG